TTTTCTTTCAGATAGCTCTGGGAACAAGGAAAAGTGTGAAATTACAATATATTCCAGAATGATTATTTAAGCAAATTATCGAGTGTCATCCACATTTGTCTTATAAACTAAAAATAAAATCCTAAGCCCCCCACTGACTAAATGGACCCCCTCGTGGCCAAGGGGATCCTAGAGAAACCTTAAAGCTGAGGTTCCCAGCCATGAAGGGTAGGGAGGTGAACACACCTCCTTATACCTCTTCCCTTTTGGAGTGTAAACTCATTGCAGGCAGGACCTAAGGCCATGCAAAGCAAAGGTGAAGTCATACCTGAGGGCCATCAGTTTTCTTAACAACTCACTTTGAATTGGTATACTGTGGCTTTCTCTGTGATTAACAGAGTTCCTTATCTTAAAACATTTTTTTTCTACTGATTCCAACCCTTTCACCTATAACATGTAAGCCCTTCCACCCCCACCTCCGGCTTTGAGATGTCCTGCTTTTTGGGGCAAAACCAATGTATACCTTCCATGTACTGATTTATAATTTTACCTGCAATTCCTTTCTCTAAAATGTATAAAACCAAATGGTAACCCAGCCACCTTGGGAATACTTTCTTAGGTACTCTTGAGATTGTAAAGCTCCGGGCCACAGTCACACATATTTAGCTCAGAATAAACCTCTTTAAATTATTTTATAGAGTTTGGGTTTTTTTTCTGTCAGCAATCTCAAAGTTATTTGGATTTGTAACTGTGAATTAAAATAAAATCTTAAGCCTCCTAGCTGACTGAATGGGCCCCCTCTTGGCCATGGATCCAGAAATACCCTAAAGCTGAGTTGCTGGCCTTGGGAAGGGAGGTCAGACACACCCCCTCCGTCAAACCCCCTCCCTTCTTGGAGATACCCTTTTCAGTTTGGCTCTAAAGGTTAGACAATGATTGAGCTAAAAAGATGTGTGAAGATCAAATCCTGAAGTAGTATGTGTTCTAAGCCAACATACTGAATTTAATACAAAATGCTGTGAAGAAAGATCGATTAATTTATCAGAAGGCTGTGTTATGGTAAGTTTGTCTTTTTAAGGTACTTGAAGCAGTATAGAGAGAAATTATAGGGTTCTATGGAAGAGTCTAATCCGTTTTGTATGTCTGAGCATGATGGTCATTTGGGTGGTAAGGTTTATTATGGTAACATCATTACATTATAGGTTGAAAATAATGTTCAGATGACTGGGTTTTCTTTTCATATTCTCTGTAATTGTATTTTGGTTAGTGTCAGTACTACATTAAAATGAAGATGGAACACAAGCCCACAGAATATAGAAGACTGTTGGACAATTGTCATCTACTACTCTCTTCTCCAATACAGTATTTTTGGAGCTTTCTTAGATATTTAACAAAATTGTTTGACTACAGTAAAAACATACGATAAAATGTAATATAGCATTATAAATTTTTAAGAGCACAGCGAACATGGTTTCTTAAAATAGTTGCTTCAAAAACTTTGTTGAATGAAGGACTAGTCCTGTAATATACCTAAATGGCCTATTTAAAATTTACACATAAAGACAGGTTATTTACAAGAAAAAGAGAACTATTCTGGTTTGTCGTGTGGTAGTTATTCTGGAGGATCTCATTTTGTGTGAACCTACTCTGTAAAAACCATTGTTTGAATGTGAAAAGGTGGGCTAGGGATTAGAGAGATTGAAATTTGCAATAATGAAGTTGTCTTTCCTCAAGAGGTTACTTAGAAGTTAACCTTTATGTACAGTCTTTCCATATAAAAAGTTACTTA